ACAGTTCCCGTGTTGAGAAGTGAGTAATTAATCCAGCACACAATCCAGTCTGCAAACAGTGGGGGACTCAGACTGGGAAGGTCCCAGGAGTCTCTTGTCTGCCATTCCCAGTCAGGGAACCATATGATAGAATTGTGTCATGACTGAAAATATAAGAAATATGAAATATAAATGACCTTTACTTTAAGAATGTGGGGAGAAACCCTTCCGACCCCCTGGGGTCTGGCATCTCCTCAGGGTCAGTGATCTCCCTGTCAGACACGTGGAGTGGGGGCATACATGTATCTTAGGTTTGGGGTAGAGCCTGAGGGGCATTAGGGATGCACAGGTATCTCAATGGTATTCACTTCCCGACAGATGCAAATTCCTAGGGGTGGGGAAGATAGAGCCACAGGTAAATTCCTAGGGGTGGGGGAGATGGAGCTCCTTGGTTCTGCCTCTAAGGCTTCACTGGTTACAGTGTCCTGCCTGGGCCAAAAGCTTTTCAGTTTATATTTTTGTTTGCCGGTAAATATTGTTTAATTTCCTCTGTGAACCACTGATTGCTCAGGAGTGTATTATTCAATTTCTACATGTTTGTGGGGCTTTTGCAGTTTCTTTTGTCATTAATTACAAGTTTCATGGTCTATGATCTGATAGCATGCATGGGATAATTTCAATTCTTTTGCATTTACTTAGGTATGTTCTGTGGGCTAGTATATGACCTATTTTAGAGAACGTTCCATGTGCTGCTGAGAAGAATACATATTCTGATGTTGGGTGGAACACTCTATATACATCTATCAAGTCCATTTGTTCACAGATATGATTCACTTCTGTTATTTCTTTGCTGATTTTTCATGTAGTTGATCTGTCCCTTTGTGTCAATGGTGTGTTCATGTCTCTTGTTATAACTGTGTTATGGCTTATTTGATTTTTCATTTCTGAGATCTTTTATAGCTTCCCAGAGTCATTTCTTTACTTCAGTTACTATCATTTCAGGGGTTTCATGTCTCCTAGGCTTGCTTAGGATGGGCTAGAGGTTTGAGATTGCATTTTGCTCTTTCATTTTGTCATTTTCCTATATTTCTGGGTTTTGAGTGATGATTCTCAGCTTCCCTCATGCTGGGAATCACTTCATGCACTTTTGGCTTCTAGGGCAGAATGTAGACAACTCCTAGCCACTTGGATATTGCTGTGCCTGGCCCAGTTAGGCCTATGTGGACTTCCCACGTGCAGTCTCTGCTGATGCTGATTAGGATGCTGGGTAGGATCTTACTGGCTGGGTATGATGTTCCAAAGCTTCCCCGGTGTACTAGGAATCACCTAACACACCTTTGGCTTGCAGGGTGGAATGTGAGCAACTGTGATCTGCTTGGAGGTTGCTGGGCATGGCCCAGTTAGGCCTGCAGGGACCTGCCATGCATCCCTTGGTGATTTGTGGCACTATAAATGGTCTTACTGGCTGGGAGTGATGTTCCAAGGCTTCCTCCATTTACTGGCAATCACCTCACATACTTTTGGCTCCTGGGGAAATTATTTTCAAACATTATTAAGCGTCTTGAGGAATCTTATTGACACAATCAGAGACCATCATTGTAAAAGAGGACAAAACAAAATAAAATAAAATAAACACCACCACCCCCAACTCCTGGACCCTTAACCTGTCAGGAATTCAAAGCATGATTTGTGTTGCATGCTGAGGCAACCAGGAATTTAAAAGTGGATTGAGCAAAAGCAACACTAGGGCCACAGATATTTAATAAATAAGAAACTTTCACAAAATTTGTGTCATTCGTTGCCTTAAAGTTTTGGATATAAGTATATTAATAATTTAGAAAAAATTGGCAAACCAAGGTTTATGAACCCTAAATACCTAGTCTATTTCATTCCTCTTCAAGATTGAGGACATTGAGGTAAGGATATCCAAGGTAGCTCAGAATATTTGTGGCAATAGCCAGGTATGGTGGTGAACACTCAGGAGGCTGGGACAGGAGGATCAGAGTGAGTTCAAGGCCAAGATGGACTGTATAGTGAATTCAAGACAAGCCCAACCTATCATGTCTCAGAAACAGAAACAAGAAACAAGATTTGCAGGGCTATGAAGCGAACAGCTTTTTACAACATCCACTTGCAGATTACCTGGGCTCCAACCCCATTCCCACAATACTATCTGGCTGTGTGAGAGACTCCATACATTCTCTTATATCTATAGTCATATGGATTCTAAGAAAAGTAGGATTTCAGCGATTACCCCAAACTATGAGATCATATTTCCCAGCAAGAACAGTCAAGACTGTGATAATGATTAGCAGATGCCATCCTATCATGGCAACTCATGAAATAGATTCTTTTTCTTTTATTAGATGAGCCAGTCTGAGCCTCTTTATCAGAGTGTGCCCTCTTGAATTGGTCAAACTGGAATATTTTCCTTGTTTTCTCTTGCTTTCCATGTTAAGGGGTCAGGTCAGTCCTTTTCAGCTCCCTAAGCTGAAGTACCTTTCTATATTTTAAAAACTTAATTTTAGTCTAGTTTTATCACATGTGTGCAGTACATAATATATATATATATTCCTTGTGAGAAGGGCATAAATGTAAATAACACATTTTAATTCCTTTTTCATCTCCTTTCTCTTTCTTCCATCAGTCTTTCACTTGTGATTTGTAGCTTCTGATGAAGATAGATGTTATCTAAGGTTCATAAAATTATATGAATAATTATAGATATCAGCTTAGGAGGAGAAACAAAATCAGTTTAATGGAATGAGAAGAGAAACAGGAAGACAGATAGCCCCGTTTTTAAAGTAAGGTAGGAAGCCTGGATCTGGTGCTAGAGAGTTTTTGTTCTTAGCCTCTTTTGTTACATGCAAGGAAGGAATTCTCTCCTTTGAGAATCACTATAACTCGATTGGGTATTTTAGGTTCTAAGACCCCGATACAACCACTGCCCAGTTGTGCTGTCTAGGTGAACACTTTCGGATAAGCTTTATTTGGTCTCATTTTGTCAAGGTGGTATTTGTGAGAATCTCATGTTCAGGACTGAGTTAGCAAAAATATACATGTGCACATTAAGGTATTGATATGGTTAGAAAATAAGAAAATATATATTCATGATGGGAGTGTGAGTGTCCAGGTGTGAGTATGTATTATAAACTAAGTGAGCTTTCTATAATATAATCTTTCTCCTCACTTTGTCTTCTGTACTTGACTAGAGGATGAGAGGAGTGAATTTGGGCCCTGGCACCAAGGAAGAAGACATGTTTATCAATTCTTCCTCCTTTTTAGAATTGCTCTTTAGCAAGATTTTAAGACTTTGGAATCAGGATTTATGAGAAATCTCAGTAAGCCCCTTAACTTATCCTGCTGATGTCTCAACTTTTCCTACACCTTTTCTGTTACTTTCCAATTAACGCCATTTTACTTACAACTTTGTACCTCAGTTTTTACTGCCATTTTAATTGAAGCAAGGACTACTGTTCATCAGGGATACTTTATTGTGTTGAAATGTTTTTGTGCATTTGGGGACACTTCCTTGCACCATTCAAAGTGTTTGTTGTTCTACCGTGAAGAGGATATAGGAGGTAGGACTGTAGCTCTCCAGCTGTTCTTTGAAGAAAGCTTGTTTTGGAATCCTTGTGTTAAATTCTCACTTCCTGGCCACTTTGAAGAGTGGATCTAAGCAATGGATTTAGAAAGCCTGGGACATAGAGATGTTCTCTGTCCCCCCTGGGTCATGGGAGTGTCAGTGTCCCTCTTTTGTTTTTTCATACTCTGGAGTTCATCGGTGGGCTCTGGACTTTCTGTAGAATGACCCAGATCCCAGGATCCCATGGAGACTGAACACTATGACCCAGGATAAATTGGAGCTTTGTGACATTACATTACCCTCAGGATGAGCCAATGAGCCTCAGAGCAAGTATGGGATGAGGGAGGACTCAGTACACAGCAGGTATGACTTGAGTGCATGGCACAGTGAGTGGTTTTTGTTTAGGTGTCAGGATTAATTCCCAGATGTTTGGACTCGTGTAGGATTTCCAGGTGCAGAACTCCTTAGCTGTAAGCCGAGAGCCAGTGTGCTGAGCAGAATGAGACTCTGGGAGTCATGACTTGAGGCAATGGGAAGGCCATCCTGTAGGACTCTGGCAGCAAACATATAGGTACATGAGAAAGAGACTGGAGGCTGAAATCTGGGGAATTTGTTTCCCAGTAAAATAGTTCACATTAAAAGTGTTAAAGAAAGAGAATGACTATGCGCATGGAGTGGTAGATGCACCACATATCAAAAACAAGAGTGAGTGTGTGGGAGGATAGAGGTGGGGGACAACTTCAACAACTTTTAAAGACTATTGGCATTTAAGAATTCATGATTTTCAGCAAATATCTTTGAGCTTGTGGCTATAGTAGCATCAGATGCAAGCATGCACATGTACAGGTGTGTGTCTGCCTATATTAAAGTAATAGGAACATATTTGTTATGATTTGTGTTTAGCTGTACCCCTAAAGCCTCATGTGCTAAGGGGGTTGGGATTTCAGAGGTGGATGAATCTAGAGTTTGTGAGTGGCTCATGGTCTAGTGCTGAGACTGGAGTGCTGGAACTTGCCATTGGATAGGTAGGCTTGGTACAATATAAGGCAGAGAGAGAGGCTTGTTTCCTTGCTCTTTTTTGTTCTTGTTTCTTTTGCTATCTTCTAGTTCTTGAATGGTGACCTTTCTGCCATGTGCTACTCTACCTTGGAGCCATCAGATTATGGACTGAAACCTCCACAACGTGGGAGCTAAATCAACCAGTTCTTCTTGAACTTTGAGTGTCAGGTTACTTGTCCCAGATGAGAGAAAAGTAACTAATACACTTCTGTTTTGACCAGGATGGTGGATGTAGGGATACCAGAAGATGATCCCTTGAATAACTAATGGTGCTAAAGAGAATCCTCAATGAATACATGTGATACTGCTCCACTTAAGGTTTTCAGGCAAGTCCAGGTTTGATTTCATATTTTTCTCTTGTATATGTTTTTTAAATTTTATTTAAAGAAAAAAAAAAAACAAAACAGTAAAAGGGTACAAGTAATACAGAATTTCCAAAAAATAAACAGTAAGAAATCACTAGTTAATAGATTCTCTCCATGCAGATGAACACCTTCATATTCCTCTTACTCCTGTCTGCATCCACATGGGATGGGGAGGGTTCTGGCTTGGTGCTTGTGAAGCATCCCTGGGCATGGGCGAATAGTCACGAACAGGCATATCTAATGTTAGAGGTAGTGGGCAACTCAGATGGCAATTTTTGTAGGTGACGAAATGGAGGCCCACAGAAGAGTCATGCAGTCATGCAGTCAACCAGGGCCCAAAGGCACATGCTCAGACCTCAGCTACTGAGATGTTAAGTCACCTGACTGATTGCTACACCCTTCCCAGAGTTCCATGATCAGATGCGGATGGATCTCCTTAAGGGCTTCATAAAGTTTGTCTTTGCAGGCCGAATTCCAGGATGGGCTGAAGCTGAACAGCTGCCGCATCTGGTCTGGCTTGGTGACCTCAGCCCGCACACTTGCATACTGTTCTTCACTCAGCACGCGTCCACTCAGAAGCTTGTCTAAGACAGAGTCCACTAAAGTCACTCGGGACACCAGCTGCTCTCGATGCTGGTCCACAAAGTGCAAAAAGGCTGGAGCATTTGGAGGCAGTGCAGAGGCTGCAATGAGCAAAGAAAGGTTTCATCAGGGGCCCTCCTTCTGATCCCTTACATGTCTGTCTTTCCAGTTACCTCATCTGCATCTTTGATTCCCTTCTCTCTTTGGAAGAGCATTTAACCACCAAAAGGCACCAATATCTTTACTTACGGCAACATAGTCTTACACTTTCTTAGTGGGAATGGGGGGAGCATAATGGGGACATGAGGCAATGTATAGGGGACTATGTTCCCATGGGCGGATGTAAAGATCATGAAGAGGAATTCTACAAGAACTCCTCCAGCCTGACCTCTGTTGAGGTTTACAATGAGAGTGCTTCCTGTGTTTTTTCTTTCCTCCAGGACCAGGCAGAATGCCCCAGGAATGCCACTGTCACCTGTGTGCTCTGACAAATGTTACTGACCTGTGACAGGTGGAGGGAATGGAGAGACTGCAGGTCTCAAGTCTCCTGGAGGAAAGGAAAGATGAAGATATCAATGAGAGTGCTGGTTATGAGAATATCTGACATACCTTGAAATTCCACCCCTTCTGATTTTCTTGGTTCTGAATGCAAACAGCAAATTCTGACAGACTCTGGAATTAGGACTAAAAGACCATTTAGAATTTATCTAGACAAATGACTTGCTCCTGTATATGGGAAAAATTGAGGCACAGAGCCTATCATCATAAACTTATAAAGGGAGGGCACACATGAAAGTAACCCATAGTAATTTCTCACACAACTTCTGAGACATGTGTTTTTTTCTTTCTTGTTTTTTAACTGAATATTGGTGGAGAAATAACTGAATGCCTTGTCAAATACCTGAAACTGTTCCACATCTTATTCTGAGCAGAACTGATTTCCTTCTCCTTTTCTGTTCTTCCACATTAACAGAGCAAATATTTGTATTAAGGATTTGAATGTCAGAATCATGATCAAACAAATGTTAGCATGTGGGGATAATGAGTGAATTTAAAAAGAAATGATAACTTTTTAAATGATTGAATAATGAGTGAATCAGCAGTGATGAGAACAGCAACAACAAATGAAGGGTTTTAAACAACTATTTACATAGCAGAGGAGGGTTCTCAGCATCTCATTTGAACAAGGACTGAGACTGTGAGCAGACTTTAAGTTCACTATGACCTCATACTGTTATGTAGAGAAGGCAAAAGTATTCAGAAGATATTACTGTCACCACAGATACATGAAGAGAGCAGTGTTCCTCATGTTTCATTTTACTAAAAGGATTTGGGGAGAATACCAATTCAGGCATAGACTGGAACATCTGCTAAAGAAGGTAACTGGCCATGAAATTGTAAAAAACCAAATATGAGGAGAAATGAAAGAACTGGGGATGTTTGATTTGCAGCAGGAGAGACATAAGGGAAGCCATGATCCAAGTGTTGCAGTAAATGAAGGGGGAAAAATGAGACTTTCATAGACTTTAAGAGGTGGAACTACGATGGATAGGATTTGTAGGGTGGCTTCACACAAGGAAAATGAATATTTTTGGTACTATTTATCAAGAATCGTTGCATGAAGCATTTGCAGACATCATTTTATATAACAATCCCAATAATTATCCCCCTATTATGAACCCAGTCTTTCAGATGAGGAACCCCAGTCCTAAAGAAGAACAGTAATTTTCCTAGAACACCACCTAATGCTGGAGTGGATTTCAACCCCAAGTCTGATGGTGGCCTGGTCAGTTCATTTTCTGTGGTTGCTCCCAAGCCAAGGCTAAGGAGAGCTCATCCACCTTTGATCAAATGGTAAAAGCTGTCGAAACTAAGAAGCTGAAGTTCTTACAATCTAATCACTGAGTAGGCTGGTTGACTCTACTAGGGGACTGACCAGGGAATTTTGTTTTTGGGATGCTTTGATATTGGACTTAGAAAGGATAAAGTATTTCTACTCCCGAAATTTTATTGTTTTACTGTTGTATATCTTGAAAATAATAACTGATACAAGAGTGAATATATGATGTTGGCCAAACTAGTCTAATCCATTATACATACAAGCCTGTAGTACTTTCTCTTTCATTTCATACTCAAATCATGAGACACTGTGCCAATGAGCTTCTATATTAAAAAAATATGTTAACTGAAGGATAGTGTTGAGATACCACATTGCATAGGAGAAGAAATGGGGCTTAGAATCTACATAACGAGTTTAATCTCTGATCATATCAGCTGTTAAATAATTTGAAAAATCCATATATGTTGTCTACGGTTTTTGTTTTCATTACTAAATTGTCACAACCCATTTACACAGACACTTGCACATACACTTTCATTTTCCAAGTTCCAGACTTGTCCTGGTTTTACCTGGTTTTAACAAGGCCTCCCATACAACTGTCCCTTCTTGCTTGTTTCTCATTTCCAGCCGGATTCCTGACCCCAAGGAGCCAACATAGATCTCACAGAAGTGCTGATGTTCTCCTGGTCTTTGATAGCAGAGCTCTAGTTCCTGAATAGAAAAAGCAAGCTCTGTTTCTAGTAACTTGAGACCTTCTTGATGCACCTTCCACCCCCAATAAATTCTTGCCTTTCTTAACCTTATTTGGGCAGTGATCCTCTTCTTCATTGACATCAGTCACAAACTTCACATCACAAATAAAAACTCAGAAGTATAAGGACACAGTGAGTGCCCCACAGATGAGTCAGGGCTCTTATTAAAAGTGTTGTTCACATATCTTAAGGCAGCATTTTTCTTTCCATTTTCACCTATATCGCCTGTCTTCCAACTGCTTAGCTTGAAGTTCTCTTTTTTTTTTTTAACCCAATTTGTGGTTTCTAACTTCAATACATTTTTCTAATGGACAGAAAATTTACATTCATCTCTTTTCCCAAATAAAATCTAAAGCAGACCTCTCTCCAAACATGTTTATCTCCATTTTCTTCAATTTCAGTAAGTAACAATACTATCTATGGAGCAGTAAGTTTCCAAATTTAGGTATTATGTTATCTCCGCCTTTCTCTCCACCTGTACAACCAATTTAGCAAGTGCTGGTGTCTCTACCTCAAAGTAGATTTCATGACATGTTATACAGACTAATACTCCTGTTGGTTTTGCTAATTGCCTTCTTTCAGTTGTTGTGAATCCATCAGTTTTTCTCCATCTCTGTTGCTACTCTTAGTCACATCATCATGAACTTTCATCTGTGACATTGCAATACTCTTTGATTTATCTCTCTGCTTTCACTCTTGCCTGCTTATCATCACATCTTTATGAAAGTGTGTTATGAATTGTATCTCCACATGTCAGAAACTCCAAGGGCTTCTCATTGGCTTGGAAAAATTCCAAACTCCACATCAAGGCCAAGCTGACTGTGGGCACAGGCAGACTGATGCTGCTTTGATCTCACCTTTAGGTGCATGTACTGCTCTCTGTCATACTGGCCTGCTTTCCATCATTTGCTGGTGCCAAATTTGTGTGCACCTTGATGAATCTATATACATTCTTCTGTCTTGCACATGCCACATGCAATTTTGTCATTGAAGTCTTAACTCAGGTGGCATCTTGTTGGACATATTTTGTCTGATGATACATTCTAACGAATCCTGAGACAGTTTCATGGTGCTGTTTCCACACAGTAATTAATATTATTGTGCTTGTTCTCTATTTCTTTACTTCTTTCTACAGTTCTCATCTGCCAGGAAGATTCCCTTGAGAAACAATTTGTCTGTGAGATCCACTGAACTAACTATACTAAAGCATATACCCAATATTGGGTTAATATTTGTTGAGTAATCCAACAGTGTCTGTCTCTTTCACCCCAAACAGCAATTGATATGGCAGAAAAATGCAAAAGTGTTTATCATCAGAAACATGTTACTACAGAATGGAAGAAATGAATATTACTTGTTGTTAATTACGGGACATATGGTCTGTCCAGAAACTTTAAATAAGTTCATGAGGAACACTTCAGAGGTTGGTAGTGTCTGTCTAAGACATCACAACAAGTTGCTTTTCTGACTTTTCACTAAGCTTTTTCACCCTGTTACTTTCATATGAAATTTTATCTACCTTTCTTCTTTGACATTCTCTGAAACACAAATATGAAGTCTTTTATCTTTACTTTGTTTGCTTTGACTTTGTTTGTTTTCCTCCTATGACTTAAGAAAAAAAAAAAAACCCTTGCACAGTTTCCCACATTGTAGCTCTTCCCCTGATTGTTGCATCTATCATCCTTTACCTTCCTTGCATATAAAAATAAAATTTTGATGCAGGAAAATTTTCACTATAGCAAATATTTTCCCTTGTGGTTTTTACTTGGTGAAAATGTGACAATTTTTGACTTTAGAAAGGGAGAAAAGTAGATTATCATTTTGTCTTTAAAAATACCAGTTAAATTCTGCATGCCCTAATCTGGCCTTCTGTTTTGAGGCTTGTCCTGCCAGCTATCATAGTTTTCTGTGTTACTGTTGACTAATGCATCCTGTTCTGGGTCTTACATGATGCTATACAAGCATCGTCATACATATGACTCAAAGCATGCACCTCACACTCTTCTAACCTTATTCAAATGTGCAGAGCTATAGAGTGCCTATTTCTCTAATCTGAAGTAGCAAATATGGGTGATGATGACATTCAGATATCACAGATTATCAATGCCTCAGTCTATCTAACTCTGTCAAAAGAAGAAGACACTAAAAAGGGCCCAAGTGTGCTCCTGTATCAAGAAATGACTCTCAAGGTCACAGCTAGATACCAGTCTCAGTACGAACTGATCATGTTTTATAGGTAAGACATGTTCTTTAGCATCTGGTAAAGAGTCAAATATATCCCATTACCTCACTCTAAATGAGTGAGTACTGTATCTTGGAAAGTTCAGCTATATGCTTGGTTTAATCTGCTCTCTGTAGAGATCCGATTTTCCAAGTTTCCAAACAATCATAGAATTGTTTCTATTTACCTCTTTGAAGTCTTTCTTCCTCTTCCTCTTCTTTTCTTCTTCTTCTTCTCCTTCTCCTTTTCTTTCTCCTTCTCCTTCCCTTTCTCCTCTTCTTCTTTCTCCTTCTTCTTCTTTCTCCTTCTTCTTCTTCTTCTTCTTCTTCTTCTTCTTCTTCTTCTTCTGCTTCTTCTTCATCTTCTTCTTCTTCTTCTTCTTCTTTTTCTTTTTTTTTTTTTTGAGATAAGTTTCAGTATGTAATTCATGCAAGCCTTGAGCTCACTAAGTGGCTCAGGCTAATCTTGAACTCTTCATGATCCTCTTGCTTCAATCTCCTAAATGTTGGGATGCAGGTGTGTTCCACCATGCTTTGCTATTGCTGCATTCTTTTCTTTTCCTTTCTCTCTCTCTCTCTTTTTTTTTTTTATCTTTTTAAGACAGGGTCTCATTATGCAGTTCACATTGGCCATGAGCTCACTTTGTAGCCCAAAGTGGTCTCAAACTTGCAACAATCCTCCTAACTTAGCCTTCTGGGTGCTGGGATTATAGGCATGTCCCACCACGATCTGCTTTTTTTTTAAAGAGGGTAAAAGTAAACATAACAAAACAGAACAAAGCAGATCAGAAGAAAACAATGTAAGTGACACAGATTTCAAAGCAAGACAACAAGAGATCTACACTGGCTACCATAATGTCTCTTCTAATTAGTTTCTTCTAAGTAGTTGTCTATATCTTTACTCACAAAGAATTCATACAAAACAGAACAGTATAAAACATCAAAACAGAGTAATGTGTTAAAGGCCTTCGAAATCAGATAATAGGAAAATCAACAATGGCTGCCATAATGTCTCTTGTTCTCTTCAAAATAGCTGCCCATACCTTCATGTATGTTGAAATTAAATAATACAAAACAGACTAAAATCACTGTAAACAAAGAATAAAAGTATTACTGGACTTAATGGCTACCATAATATCTCTTTTGCTTCAAAGTAGCTGTTCATTTCATCATACATAATATAATAAATTCTCATAAACTGTTTAGGAAAAGTTCTAGACATCTTTAAGCCACTATTAGTATATTTATCCTTTATGTATTAGAGGGAAAAACAAAACAAAACAAAACAAAGCTGATGACTAGTAAACATGAAACACACACAAAAAAATAAATTACAATAGCAAAGAGCCCAAAACAATAACATGGGCCTTCAAAACAAGATGTTAAGAGCATAGATAGGATTGTTATTTTACATAATGATCTTCAAGACTTCCTCGGATCACCAGATACAAACTTGCCAGATTGTTCCAAACCTATGACTGTTAATTGTTTCATTCCAAGAACTTATAGAATTTATAGTACAATCATCTTAGCTATCTTAAGTGTGTTTATACAATTTTAGATATTTTTTATTTTCCCTCCCTTTCTCTTTTTCCTTCTTTTTCCTTTGATATTATATTTTTTCCTCTGCTAGTGCTACATTCTGAAAATACCCATTCTAGAGCAATTCTGTTTTCTTAGACCTTCCATGACATTGCCAAATAGGCCCAAATTCTACAGTGGTTTTTCCAACACCTTTTTCCTCCAATGACCCAAGATTCCCCATTTGTGGACTATTCTGCAATATGTGTTACGAATCCAGTGTGTTTGACTACAAGTACGTTGCTGATGCAATTTGACAGGAAGATATCAACAACCTTAGAACAAGCACTTCCCAGTTCTTTCAAATGAAATCCTATTATTCTCTCTATCCTCAGTGTGATTTTTCCTCTCCCTGACTGCCTTTGTTCTAACCTTTGAATCACTGCTGATCACCTGATCATTCCTGAGAGCCCAGTAGCTTTCTCCTTTCTCTAATTAATCCAGTCCCTAGGAATTATCTGAGGCCTTCCCCAGTTTTCTCTACGCACGACTTCTGACCAAGAGACTAGGCAGACATGCTGCTGCTCACCTGGGGCATGATCTCCAGTGTCTCTGAACCAGACACAGTATAACGGGTTCCCACGTAAAGAGGGCTGAGAGGAGGTGGCTTGTGTATTCGCACAAATTGAAACTTCTTTTCTTCATCATCTATGGCCTAAGGGACATAGAGAACAATGATTATTTGAAGCTTTTGTCCTTGGGAATCAGATCTGAGTAAGTTTGGATGATGTGTCTGTGTGGGTAAAGAGGCCTGCATCCCTCTCCCCTCATGTTCTGCCACACAAGATCCCTCACACTTGTACCCTGTTATGTGTGGGGTGGGAATAGGATCTCTTCAAGAGAAGGAAAAGTAATCAGGAAAAGCTACAGTTTGGTGTATGCTGTCATTCCATGCTTTTAACTACTGGCAAGAGGCTGCAAAAGCTTTTCTAGTGACCAGTGATGCAGCAGTGAATGCCTTTAAGAGAGATTTGGGTTGTCACAGGGGCCAGTCTCTAGATGACCACAGGGCACAATTCCTCATCAACACCAAGGTTTCCGTTTAAAGAGGCCCATCCTTATTTCCAGTTGAGAATCTCTTGAGATAGTTCCCTCTTGAGATGAGTTCTTTTGGATTTTCTGGTTCTTAGTGTTCACCTGCTGAATGGTGCAGTCACTGGGGATCAGGTAGAGGTGGAGTTTGATTTCCTCAGCATGGATGCAATGATAGAGCAATGTGGTGGAGTAGATGCGGATGAAGCGCTGGGCAGCAGGGACTACTTTTAGGAGAACTCCCATAAGGGAGAAGTTAGGGTTTTCCAGGACAGTGCAATGAGTCTCCACACTGGTTGGCTTCTCTAGGAGCATCCCCTTCTCTTTAAAGTGGGCCACTTGGAACAGAGATCTGTTCACATGTTTTCCTGTGAAAAAATAAATTTGAGAGGCATTGATTTAGTGTTTTCACTGGGTGAAGCTTGGATTGAGTAGTAGGATCTCAGGGATGAGGCTAAGAAATATCCCTGTGGAACCCAGTGTGATGATTTGAATGCTTGGGTCCACCCAAAATTTGTATGTTGAAATCTTCCCATTCTGAGTGATATCATTATGGGTGGAATTTTTTGACAGGTAATAAATCACTTTGGCTGAACCCTTATAAATAGCATTACTGCACTCATGAAACTGACCCCCAAAACTTGCTTCTTCCCTGGCAGAGCACAGCTGTAAGGTGAAATCTGGGGATAAGGGAATACTTACCATACAGTGAATGTAGTCTCACCTTAACCTTTGACCAGTCATAAGGAAAATAAGGAATACATTTGCTATTTATAGACTATTCAGTATACAGTATTTTATTATATTGGGTCCAATGGACTAAGACATTTAACAGGGAATGAGAACGCATATACTGTTGGCTGGATATTCTTCAGGGGCTGTAGGCATTACTCCCACTAGGGTAGGGGCACCACTCAAATCCTAAACCTTGTGCCAAACTTGGCCAAATCTAGCCCCGGCCCTAAAGCTGGGAAACATACTGAACCTATGGCTAGCTGTGCTGCTGCTGGCTATTTTCTCCCTGTGAGAACATTTTTAGTTCAGTTTAGTTAAGGTTATTGGTACACTCTAGGTACACATAGTGATTACAGTCATTACAGGAATTCATACCTGCACATGATATAACTTGATTGCTCTCTTTGTCCCCATTCCTATTCCCTGTCTTCAAATATTCTTCCCCTTTCCATTAATGAAGCTCTGTTTTTATTTTACCCTTCTTTTCTAATTTTTCTTTTCCTTCCTTTCTTTCTCTTCCCCTCTCTAATCCCTTTTGAACAGTTTTTTTTCCTATTTTACAGTATCTATTATACATTTTATTTCTTATTTACATTTTCAATTCCTCACAGTAGAGACATAATGTGGCATTTAGCCGTGTAAATCTGGTTTATTTCACTTATGATTATAGTCTCAAGACGTATCCATTTAGTTCTAAAGTCTCAATTTTATCTTTCTTTATGGTTGAGCAATAGTCTATTATATATATATATATATATTATATATATACTATTATATATATTATATATTTTAATATATATTATATATATATATATTAAAAACACATCTTTTATTCACTCATCTGTTTATGGGCATTTGGGTTGCTTCCAAATTTAGCTATTACAACCTGAGACACTACAAACATGGTGCATATATATCTCTAGGGTATGATGCTTTCCGTTCTTCCAGGAAGATATACAGAAGAGAAGTAACTATTTCAAATAGAACCTGTAGTTTTAGTTTTTCAAGGAATTTTCACACTGATTTTCACAGTGAATGCACTAGTCTACACTTCCACCATAGTGGAGAAGGGTTCCTTTTTCCCCACAATCCCTCCAGTATTTGATATTGGTTGATTACTTTATAATAGTCATTCTTTCTATGGAAAGATGGAATTTCAGTGTTTTAATTTGCATCTCTTGAATGACCAGTGATGTTGAACATTTTTTCACATATTTGCCATTTGTAGTTTTTATTCTGAGAAGTGTGTATTTATCTTAGATGCTCATTTTTGGATTGGGTCTTTCAATTTGGAGCTAACTTTTTTTCAGTTCTTTATATATTTCTGATATTAGTCCTTTGTTAAAGAATAGCTGGTAAAATTTTTTCTCACTCCTTGCATTGTCTTTTCACTTCATTGATGATTTTGTTTTTTTAAAGAACTAGTTTTAATTAATTTACTTATTCATTTATTGTCTTTTTGAAACAGGGTCTTAATATGCAATTCAGGCTGGCCTTGAGCTCACTTTGTAGCCCAGGCTGGTCTCAAACTCAAAACAATCCTCCTGCCTCAGGCTTCCAAGTGCCGGGATTATAGCCATGTACCACCATGCTGTTTATTGGTGGTTTCTTTGCTATGCAAAATTTTTAAATGAGATGGGATCTCCCTTGTTGATTCTTTCTGATAATTTCTGTGTGCTTGGAGTTTTGTTCATAAAGTCCTTGCCTACACCTATGACTTCCACAATTCTCTTTCTTCATTTTTTATATTATTTTAAAGAGGATAAAGCCAAGGAAAATAAAACAGAATAAAACCAATCAAAATAAACCATTATAAGTGATACAAGACTTCAAAACCTTATGAAACCAACAACAGTTACCATAATGCCTTTTGTTGTCTTCCAAATAGCTTCAGATACTTTCAGACATAGTAAAAATTGAACAGAAAACAACAGAATAGAAACAATAAAACCAAAATAGTGAATGCAATAAGGACTTTCAAAACACGCTATCAGTAAATCCAGAATGGCCACCATAATATGACTTGTTATTTTTCAAATAGCTGCTTGTGTCATCAGATTCAACATAGTCAAACAAAACAAAAAAGAATAAAACGGAACCCAACAAAACAATGAAAATGATACGATTTCCTGGCCGTGATCACTTTCTGGTGAGGCCTGGATCAGGACACTGTGCCCCCAGTTACGGAAATGGAACTGACTTGCTAGGCGTGAGTGTGGTTGTCTTCATTTTAGCACTGGTTTCTAAGTGGGGTCACCTCCTGGTGAGGCTCCTGGTTTGCTTCCGCTGCAGTCCATTAATGGCACAGATTCTATCTTCCACAGTTCTATATTCTAGTTGATTTAATATTTCTGTTTTAATATTTAGATCTTGGATCCATTTTAATTTTAGATTAGTGCATGGTGATAAATCTGGATCTAATTTTAGTGTTTGGCATGTGGAAATCCAGGTTTGCCAACACCATTTATTAAAAGAGACTTCTTCCAGTGAATATGTTTGGCTCTGTTGTAAAAGATAAAGTGTTTTAGTGTGTTTGGAATTGTTTTTGGGTCTTTTAATCTGTTCCATTGGTCCTCAGGTATGTTTTGTTCTGTTTTGTTCTGCTTTTTTCATTTGTTTTTTGCCCGTACAATCATGTTTTTATCACAGTTAATTTGCAGTAAACATTCAAGTCAGGAATTGTAACGTTCACTATCTCACATTTTTTGTATGCAATTGTTTTTGGTATTCTAGGTCTCTTCTGTTTCCAAATAAATTTTAGGAATGTCTTATATAGTTCTGTTAGGTATTCTGCTGGTATTTTGATTGCAATTGCATTAAATCGCTACAGCAATGGCCATTTTCAATATGTTGGTTCTACCTAAAGGGAAGGGATAATTTTCCATTTTCTGATGTCCTCTTTGATCTTTTTAGAGTACTATAGTTTTCACTGTAGACTTATTTTATTTCCTTTTTAGATTGATTCCTAAGTATTCATCTTTTTGAAGTAGTCATTTGTTGTGAAGAGTGGTGTTTTACTAAATCTCTCTGTGAATTCATGATTTTTGTACAGAATTACTATTGATTTCTGAGTGTGGACTTTGTATCCAGTTATGCTGCTGAATCTGTCTTTTGGTGGAGTTTTTGGGATCTCCCATGTAGAGTATCATGTCATATGCAAGTAATGACACTTTAAATTCTTCCTTTCCTGTCATTATTCCTTTTCATTCTTTCTCATATCTAATTGCTCTGAGTACCGTTTCCAGAACTGTATTGAATAGGAGTGATAGTGGACACTTTTGTTTTTTTCCTGATTTTAAAGTGAAAATTTGAGGACATTTTGAATGATGCAGGTAATTTAGACTATAAACATGTAGAGCAAAACTACAAGAAGTGGAGTGAAGGGAAGCATACACCGATTAAATGTTTGGTAGCACTTAAATTCTTCATTTGGAGAATAATTCCTTCCTATAACATTGCAGGCCCTTGTCAGGAGACAAACTGAACTTCCTTCTCAAGATGAGCTACTTCCTGGTAGCAATAACACATATGAGGAATCAAGATTTCGCTAAGAGGTACCACTAACTTTACCCTTCATCCTAGGGGACTGATCCTCAGATGAAGAGACAACTGGAGTTAATCTTGGCAGTAGCATGGCATTGCAGAGTCCAGTGGTCCCCATGGCAGTGGCAGCATCTGCATCAGGGGTCTCTCTGCCTCTTGGTTTGAACATGGCTATGTCCTTGGTGGTGCCAGCATTGTTTTACTGACTTGTTTTTTCTCCTTTATTTGTTGCACGTCTTTGGGTTATGTCTGTGACTACTCAAGAATATCTCAATATATTTCTCTTTGGTCTATATAAATCAGAATTAGTTTCTTTGATTGTAGTCTACAATTAGTGCTACAAGAGGAGACATTGAAGCCACAAAAAAGGGGCTAAGGAATGAATGCTAGTAGTGGAAAGGATGCTGACACCAAGACACCAGGACTCCTGGCTCCATTCCTGTGTTGCTGGGAAACCACTGCAACGCAGTTGGTTTCTAGGAAGCAAGACATCCATCTGCCAGGCAAGACTGTTAGGTAGCCTGGGCATTGATCAGAACACTACTGAGTGGCATTAATCCTATCACAGGCCATGAAGACCACTACGTAAGTGTTCTCACATTAATTGCATTTTTTCAGGGAGGGAATTATGTTAATATTGTATATGCCACCTGAAAAAATGAGGATCATTTCACCCATCAGTTGTAGTAATCGAAAACCAGACTATTATACCTATTATTCCATTTTCTGGTACTGTCATTCTCAGCAGCAACACATTTGCACATTTCCATACTAGTTTAGATAACATTTTCTCTTCTCTTTCTATATCCATTCAGATTGTGGTAAGTGAAATGGTTGTTGACCCAGACCGGACACTGTAGCCAGAAAAAGCCTCAGCCAGAATTAGGGAGCTCCTGTCTCCCCTACCCCTAGAGATTTACCTGTAACCCTATACCCCCCCCCACCCTTCAGAATCTGCCCCTGGTGCCAAACGTGTGCCAATGAAATACCTGTGCATCTCTAATGGCCTTAGGGCACTGCCCTAAGCTTAGGCTACTTATATTCCCCCACGCCACCTGTTTGCATGAGATCACCAGATTTCAGTGGCTGG